CTCGGCAGATATTCCTCTGCCATATCCTTTCTCCCTTTTGAGATTGCCCACAATCAGCCGCACTCAGCTTACTAGCTTACGCTCCCAAGTGCTTCCCTCAGCACTCATTCCCACCTGGGGTCACACTTGTTTGATTAATGAGAATTTTTCTTGAATTGTGGAATTCCTTCCGCTGGCTGGCATTTCCGATTGGACCAAGAACGGTTCTGAGAGATTCTTAATGAACTTTTGCTCCATGCACTTGCAATTTCCTCAGTGGCTACGCTACTTCTTGCTAGTTCCAATCTAGTCGACTTCTTCTCCTCCAGACCAACGATCCCGGCAGCATTCAAACTAATTAATGAATAACGGATTTCTTTTCCTTCTTGTGAAAATCCTCATTTTTATACAAATTGTTATATTCAAAGTTATACCATCCAGTTATTTATTCAATTAGTTATCTCATCCATACCAGTTATTCATACGACCAATAAACTGAATTCAGCATTCAATGTATTTATTACTCATGCGCTTACGTTAAGAAGCAAAATCATGGCGCATCCCATGAAATCTACATCCCTATTATCTGCCGTATCAGCGACATCTTTCGATGGGGAGGGATAACTTATTTTGTCTTATGCTGACACCTGTATTGTGTCCTTCCACCAAAGAAATTGGCTGTGTCTGAGATAAAAGCATGNGCTCGGATCCCGAGACGAATTCTCGTATCCTCATGTGAAACAAGTAAGCAGCCGTCTTCTACCTCGATACCATCCAGATGGTTAGAGTCTACCGCGTGTCGATGCGTTCTTTTGGAAGGATTTGCCGTGCTTTGAGAAAAGTTATGTTGCCCCTCTTTTTTCAAACAGACCATCTACTGAGAAGATCTGCTCTGAAGTTGTGTGGTGCCCCTTGGAATGAAGAACCAACCATACATAGAGGTGGTTGTCTGACAGTATGGGCACCTTTTTTACCATCTTCAATCAACAGCCTATTGTCAGCAGTGATGAACATGGCAGCAGCGCCTTTTATCATAATGCTACAACACCGGTTTGGTCCGGTTCAGTGTGAAAGTCCTGTCACTCCCGATTTGCAGCCGAAAAGTGGTCTAATTGGGCCGCAATGCACTTCATCGACTATAAAACCGTCGGATGGCATTAATCCGCATCGTTACCCTTCTCCTCAATGTACTAGCATCGACTGTGATTGTTGACAGCGGAAGATCGCCACTATCTCGTAGCCCTAGATCGGATCCTCCCAGAGACAAGTAGGCTCGCAAGTTTTTCCTCCATATCTTGGGTTCTTCTTTCAAGAATAACCACTCTTTCTTGTTTCTTTTCAAATTACTGTATCATAGAATATATACTTTGTTCTCTGAGGTGTACCATAAGAAGAAGTACTGCTGTAAAATTATTCCGTCATATCGATTCAATCAGACAGCCCGATGTGAATTTCCAAAACAGACTCCGGAAGTCAATGGTTTTACTTTGTATTTACATTTAACCTTCGAAATTTTCACCTGGTAAATCCCAAACCAATGAAGTTGTCCCTTTCTCCTATTTTTTGAATGTGATATGGGAAAGGATCCTCAATCCCATTCATCTCCTGCACGATTGCATACTTGAAAAAGGAAGGAAACCGTCCAATAAGTCTGCAGGCTAACAAGGAACGTGGACATATTTAAATTTGGTCCCAAATGTATAAGGAAAAATAAAAAAAAAATATTTAGAGAATCCCATATATCAGTGAAGATGAGCGTTCCATTTTCACAGAACAACATATTCGTTCGTCGTCGTTTCGATTTACATTAGCGATAGCGTCGCTCAGGTAGAATCAAAGCTCGTTCAAACCGATGACTATCGCTAAAGAATATCGTCGTACCATGACTTAGTGCACTACTTTTGAACGTCGATTTAGTTTTTTTGAGCCCACTATATCATCGCCTTGGTTCAGCCTTCATAGGTTCTCAACTGTAATTCACACAGCTGTGCCGGCCGATCGCAGGCGGATTCTTCTCTGCAAGGTCCAAACTATCTCGATCTTACGAGGCTTCCTCTTAGCATCCACTTCCAGATAAAGCCAACAATTAGTGCTTTCATCAGAATTGCTACGAGATTAAGCAAACGTCGCTTCCTACATTGACCCGGGAAGACTGTCAAGCTCCGGGGGCTTTCAGGACGCCTTCACATGTAAAAAGCATTCTCCCCAGACCACATGTGCTGCGAGCTGCACCTTCCGAGAGTACCCCGGAGAGGCATCTGCCGCCACCCCTGCGCGACTCGTTCGTTCGCCTGAGCGCCGTTGCGTGTGAAATTAGGGTGTGGTCGCGAAAATACATGGATAACACCAATTAGACTGTGTCTTTTATGAATTCAATGACAGGCTGGCGATAGGTGCCAGCGTTTTTCCGTCAACCCTTTCCCTCACGCGAACTTTTACAATTTTTAGCTAAAGCCCCCTTATTAGAGCTATTCCTACAACAACCGAGTGTTTCTTAACCTTGACCTAAGCTTTTTTGTTACAAAATATCGCAACTCAAGTCAGACCTGTTACACCCAATCTATCATTCAACCCTAGCAATCGTGTGGTAGACCTTAATTAGTTTCTCGTCAACCATATTCAATTTTTTCAATAAAATCGATTAACTTACCTCTTGAATGTTGGTCGACTCTTGGTTTATGGCATACATTTTCTCCAATCAGACTCGAATAGAACTTGTTTTGGGACCCTGTGGGTCTGAATGTTGTTCATTCACGAAGTTGTATAGAGTTCCGAGCAGTTTCACACAACAGCGAGCCACTGTTAGCCTAAAATTTAATTTTTTATAGAGGAACTACTTCGAAGTCCAAATCTGGCTGCCGCCAAACTTGCACCCAAAATCTGTTAAGATTCTGACCACAATTGAACGGTAGCTCCATCATTTTCGGCCCATCTGGTTAACCCTTTGACGACAATGCGGATTTCGACATGATGTGCCCATGGGACCACGCTTCCCTACTTTCGCGCGCGACTGGCCCCCTCCGGTGGATGGCACTGTCTCAGGAGAAACTTCTTTTACTGACTTACTGAATTTAGCAATTGGTAAGAAACACGAAGGTATGGTGGCTCCCAAAATTGGGTGGCAGTGTCCCATGTGCCAGTCATAGTGGCCATTGCCGTCAAAGGGTTAATAAGGTAACTCCCGTTATGTGCAAATTGAGTGAAAGTTTGTTAAGTTAGTTCTGAACCAGCTCATCGACTACTTCAAGGCGAGAAACTTCCTTAAAGGCAGAGATATTCCCCTAGGATGGAACTTTTGTCCCGCATAGCCCGTGGGTGGCGGCATAGGTGAGAAAACGGTCTAGACAGGGTGTATGGCGAACCCACCACTGACCGGGTCCCGAGAATTTTGGAGAGGCCACATCGTTCACAATGGAGCACATATGTTGGAAATTCAAACAAATAGCCATGAGCCATGGCGGCAGTGTTGGCTACTTTGGAATTTCTGTTTTACTATAGCCAGCTCTAAGCAGTAGCACACGACTGACACTCGTTTGAATACCCCTTCCATGTCGTCACAACCCCTTACAGCTCCTTTTTCACTACTTTTCTAAGCCTTTCTTGTTGAAATTCGTCCATTTTCACGCTTCCCTCGCAACTTTAGTACTGTTCTGCACAGCAACTTCCAATATTTCCCTTGAACTGAGTACTTGTAGTATCGAGAACATTCGACTTACCTAGTGTGTGTGTTCGGTTTGAAATTTCGCTGGCTATGTTTTCTTAGCAAATTCGGCTATTGTTTTCCGTGTGTTTCTGCTTGTGGTCGTTGTTTGTCTTTCCGAACGGATACCTTTGGCCTGTTTTCGGTCAGCGCAGCCTTCTGCCGTTCTGTTGGCGCAATTGTTTTCCGTGCCTATAATGACTGATGTGATTTGGGCGAATCGAATTCCCGCTAAGCACCTTTTTTTCTTGAAACAATCAGTTCATGTACTGCTTTCCCTCAATACTTCTTAAAGTATGTCTTTTCTCAGATAATTTGTTTCTGGGATGCTTTCTCATCAGCTTCCACGTCCAACTTTTCTCCAAAAAAAAAAAAACGATAAATAATAGAAAAACTAACAATAAAGTCAATGAAATGAAATGCTGCATTAATTAGTTAAATGAATCATGAGCTCTATGGATCTACCATCCTTATAAGGATACGCCTTGCATTTTCCTTTCACCGGGCATTGAATGGTGTAAGACCAATGTCGGCATTTTAGCGAGGAAGTATAATGTAGTAGAGGAAATAAGACGAGAAAATAATTATGTAAATGTCCTAAAGCGAGTTCTCTCCGTAGATCATATTCTTCCTCGAGTAAAAGTAGAGTTGGAAACTTATGCCATAGGAAAGCACGATTCTTTCACTTTTCCACTTCAGAAACTGCGAAAGAACGTTTTGATTCTTGGGAACTTAGGAACTAAGAACCGATACTGACTGGCCATTGACCTGTTCTGTACAGGATGTGTCTGAGAGAATAATCAGCTATTGAGTAAGCATTGCCTAACTGAAAAAAGCTTGATGGCGCCTCTAACAATTATAAGAGTAGTGATTTCCCTCAAATTAAAACAGGAAGACGCTAATATACCAGAAAAGTGCTTGAAATGTGCGATTGCCGCTGATAGGCCCTTGAACATTCCTTCTGGATGCCGAGAGGACCATGAATTGCTCAATGTATACTTTCACTGGGTAGTGTCACTCGGATGTTGGACGTTCCGGTAATGGCGTACGTAGAGAAAGTTGAATTCATGGCGACCTTATAAAATAACATCCGAATAATTTGCTGAGTCATAATTAATTAATTACTGATGACATGTAAAATATTCTAATATTTGCGTATTTAAATCACCTCGAGATCTCACTAGCATCCAAATGATTGCAAGCTGCTGGTGGAAACCAAAAGCAATAACCTCCACGACCTCGCAAATCAAATGAACAATTTGAATTCTTATGGAACTGATTAGTCGAAACTTTCAGATTTCGCATATGTACTGACTGTCTGATGCTAGAAAGGGCTCTCCTCCAGTGTTTTCTGATACTGGTGTGCTGCTCTGAGCTCGCACTCAATCGCAAATGGCATCCTTATAAAGGAAGGCGATACGATCTCACACTATTCATTCGGTGAGTACTCCTCTGAGAGTAGCGCCTCCTCGCTTAGGCGCTCATGTCGTATCTATTACTACATTCTAGAAATCACAACGTAACGGACGCCACATTCTTTCGGTTAGTGGGCGTTGACAACACTGCCGATTTCAACGTGACTGCTGGCAATACATTTGAACACACCTTTGAGGTGAGTTGGTCCGAAAAAGGGCCGTACAGCTGAAGAAGTAATTCCTTACTTATTTGAGGTGAAGCGAAAAGGTTACTGGACGCTTTTCGTTGAGTTCCCCGGAGATCGATATGCGAAATCACCACGAAAGGTGAGTGGTTTTAACCCCAGCTCTTCCCGAAAAACCACCTTGTAGAAAACTACGAACACCTGTTTACTCGTTAAAGTACAACGTTCCCATAAATGATTGATAATTCCTCCGAATTCAATGTGACATAATATGCCAATTCTCGGTTCTCAAAAAATTCCTTGTTGGCATCGTGGTGAGTTTTAACTCAATGTGACTGTAACTTTGACTAACTTGATTGTAATACAAAAAGATGATCATTCATTTCGCGTCAATCTTTAAGATAACTCACAGCTCTTTCTCTCAATAGCTTTCCTTACCAGAATGACCCGAGGTATACATAACCCTCCTGAACACCACTTTCTTCTACCAGTAAAGCTCATCGGCTCATTCAATTCTATGTCTTACCCTCATCACTAGGGCTTTCACTGGCTTCGTGCTTCAATTATTGTTCACTGAGATGAACAAGAGCTTAAAAGGATATGTATTAAAAACCTTCTAGAACCTTTCCACTTGTAGGTCAGCCCCAAAAAAAGATAATGTCTCATGAGGAACTGTAACAAATTGAGTCTTTTCCTGTGTTCACCTTCATCAATCTTGGCAATTCAACACGAAAGTGTTCAACACCACAAGTCCGTGATATAGCTAACACTTTGTGAAGCCTTTGTAGCTCTTCTGGAAACCTTGGATTCTCTTCTAAACGTGCCATTCATCGCCTTCAAAAAATACTGAAAAAAAAAACTTGTCACCTTAGATTTATTAGCCGATCTTATGCTAAAAGAAGATTAGCTTATAACGGGAATCGACAGCACTTTTTCCTATCGAGCATCACCGAATAGCACTAAATTATCAATTGCTCCATGAATCCTTTTTTGTTCAAGTTCTGAACACTCCTGTATAAGACTGTGTCATTGCGCAACATAGGGGAAACTGTTCCCGAACTATCAACGAAGGCGGCTCCAAAGAGTCTGGGCGACAAGGTTGGCTGACTGTGACCAACTGATAGGATCAAAACGGATCAACGTAATTAGCCTTCGATTTTTCTTTACTGCCGGTGCAAGAAGTGCCAAGTTCAAATCCATTTGGTCCAGGCTCCAAAATCGATTAGAAGGAGACCCAATGTTACGTTACAATCGTATCTACGAGCGCATCGCGAGCTGTGAGCTCAACCTCACCCTGACGTACCATTCGATTTGATTGGGACGTTAGGCGCTATGAGCTGTCGGTTCATTTGGATATCACGATCACTGATATCGCTCGCCATATGAATGAACTGGGCAACCCTAGAGTGATGTCTCGATGAGTCGAACATCGAACATTGACTGTTCACGACCGAGCAATACGTGCGACTATCTGTGAAGGACGCTATCAATCAACCGTGAAGGAAAAACTTCTGACAAGTCGAAGGAGCCTTGAGCTAACGAACAGAGCAGCACACATCATGCTTACCAACTCCGTCGCAGCTGAGTTTCATCGCATCGAGCTCCATGTCCCAATTGAATTCTCGATTTATGCGAATAACTTATAAACTGCCGAATTCTACCTGGAAAAGCTAAAAGAACCTTCAAAAACGACTCAGCGTTGTCTTTCTTCGAGATGCAGCTGAGCTCAATCTACAGAAAGTGAGTTGACCCAAGGTACCAATTCACCGTGTACCTGTAACATTGCTTCATACGTCGCCTGAGTTCCACCCATGTCGCATTCAATCAATCACCCTCCAACAGAGAAACTTTAACGCCGTTGTAATGAGTTGTTACTGCTTTTTCTTCCAAGAAATAAAATCGAATAGAAGAAAATTTTCAAAATGAAGATAAAATTTATCAAACAGTCCAATATATCCTCTTCTTTTCGATCGAAGTACTATGAACAGGACTACTGCTGTAGGTGGAGCGAAATTGAGTTTAGCAAAAATACTCTACTGAAACCCCTACAAACCCTGATGAATTCCATGGACAATTTTAACACAAATTCAGTGAAAGGGCTGGAAATTTAAACATTTTCAGGTGATCTCACGAGACTCTTATCGAAAGTGGGTGATGGAAGTATACTACTATCCAGGAGCGGTCGGTTTCAGTGAATGGCACAAAGTGGGTAGAAAGAGCAAGCGAGGATAATTGTCCATCATCAGCCGTCCTGCACCCCATCATGAATACTATGTAGCACTGGCCTCCGAAGAGCAATACACCAGAGATCAGCAGCATTTAATTACTTTAAGTCGCTAGAAGTTCGCCTTGTATGATACGTTTGTGTAGCTTTGAGCTTTACTTCGTACGATACTGCCAGCCCCGTGTGTGTGTGTGTCCGTTCGCATTTTATAATCATGTCAGTCACATTGATTTTTTTTATACAAAATGAACAAATGTACTATCGAGCCATTGCAAAGAATTAAGAGATTTTCATATTGTAGAAATGTGGATCATATGTTTGAGAAAATAAAGAAAAACTCTCTAATTATGTCACTGTGCACAAGCCGATAAATACTAGCCTGATGTGAAAATCAAAAGAGAGTATTGAATACTGAGTTTACTTACATTTCATAGTGCTGCCCGAACATCAAAATACCATCAAAACCCCACGAGTTCCTCTCTCACCTATACTGCATCGTTCGGAAAGTTTGCACCGATTTTTAAGGCACAGTTCACGATAAAAATGGTTACTTAGATTCCCCCACAGAATGAATTTGAGGCCCCCCGC